TTGGGGACAGTTATTTATAGCTGCAGAAGCTATTATAGAGTAGGGCGCTTTTGTCTCCTTCCTCCCCCTTTCTCATTTCTCTAAAAATTGAACATATTTTTGTTTTCCCAGTGGGAAAAAGTGCCAGATCGATGATTTAAATCTCTCCTCCTCATTCTCTGTTCCTCTCTCTGCCTCTCCCTTTGTCTCTCCATGTTCTATCTGCTTCTGTCTCTTCCTTCTGGACAGGCTCTGAATCACCCCCAGGTTCGAATCCAAGTGTTGTCGCTAACTTTCGTGTCACCAGAGCAAATGGTCTGAGCTTCTCAGCGCTCCCTGGGCTGTGTTTCTTCTCCCACGTCCCTCAGTGCCGACTGATAAGGGAGAATTGCATGAGCTATTTCTGTCTGCCTGTAACCACCCCCCACCCTCCCTCCTCAACTAGATGGTGAACCTGGGGACACGGAGCCACGTCGACATCTGTCCTCCCGTCACCTCCTCTCTGCTCTGTGTTCTCTGTTTTAGTCAAAGGCCCCCCTCTCAGGAGCTGCCCAGGCTAGAACCTCAGCGTCCTCTTTGCCTACTTTGTCACCTCCCCCTCCCCATGTCCACAGGACTTGATGACAAACTTGATCGCAGTGCTCGGATCTATGGATTATAAAAAGAACAAAACAGGGTTTTGGTTTTTTTTTTAAATCCCCATTTCCCGCACCTGAAAAAATGTAAACACTTGCAGAAATAGGAGTTTTGAACTGTTTTGTTCTTTTTTAAATCCCTAGAACCGAGCTCTGTCACCAGTCTGTCACCAAGTCCTGTGGATTCTCCGCCCTGCTTCCCCATTCTACATGCCTCTCTCTGACCCCTCTGTCATATTTTCGAGTCTCCCCAAAGTGCCAGGCACCGAGCTGACCTATGCCCATTGTCTCTTCCCATGAGTTCCACTGGAGCAATGTCGTCACTGTGTCAAGCTCCCCGCCCCCCGCCCCAATCCGCTCTCTCCCTTCATCTCTCTTCCTGTAACAGCTAAGGGATGGGGCAGCAGAGCGGGTGCCTGCAGACTCCGTTACTAAGGAAACCACTTCCTTGGTTACCAGCTTGGGTAGCGTTTGTCTCACTATATCTGGCTCCCGCTGAGGTGCCCCACTCCCCAGGAAGATGATGTGGAGTGCAGAAAGGACAACAAGAGAGAGAAGAAAGGGAGAAAGAGACAGAGAGCTCAGAGATCAAGAGGTGGAGATGGAGAGACATTTGTACGAACAGAAACAGAGGCTGCGAATGAAATAAAGATGGCCTGAGGGAGAGAGGAAGGGGAGAGGGGGAGAGAAAAGAAAGGCAACAGATCAGAAAGAGTAGAGGTTTAATGAGCAGCTGGAGGGAATCGAAGAGCCCGCAAAGAGGGAAAGGGAGAGCAGGAGGCGGAGTGAGGAGCACCCAGCCAGGAAGGGGCGGGATGGGAAGTGGAAAAGGCAGTGAGAGAGAGAAAGGGGGAGTGAAAAGGGCTGGGCCTTTAGTGGAAGGGGGGGTCCTGCCCCCAGCATCCCCTGGGGCCTCCCCATACTTCTCCCCTCCCACACTGTCCACTGGGCGTAGTTTGCAGCTGCTCCCAGAGTTCCTGGAGAAATCCAGAAGAAATCCCGGCAGTTAGTAGACACTGGGCCCTGCCTGTTCTGCTCAAGTCCCAGAGCCACAGGGAGTCGGGGACGACAGCAGGAGGGGATCTCAGGTGTCCCAGCCCCCAGGCCTGCACTGGGAGCTGCTGGGATCCGCAGCTTTCCTGCGGGGTGGTGGTGGTGGTGGTGGGGGCTTTTAAGGTGGAGGCTTTTAAGCCTCCCCCTTGCCCCCAATTAATCTCTGTGTGACTTGGGCCGGTTACTCCACGTCTCTGAACCTCACTGTCCCTCCTCTAAGAGAGTCCACCTCTGTGGGACCCCCCTCATGGGTCACAGGAGCAACCCAAGTCCCTTTCCAGCCTTGTCCCACCACCATCTCCCCAAAAGCTTTCTGATGACTTACTGCTCCATATCAGCGGAAATGTAAACACTGCAGGAACAGGAATTTTTATCTGTTTTTGTTTTTTTTTAATCCCTAGAACCAAGAGAAGTACCTGACATGCAGTAGATGCTCAGTAAATATTTGTTGAATGAATGAATGAATGAATGAATGCTTCCTTGGTTTCTTCTGGGTCTGAAATATAGAAATTTGATTCAAGATGAAGTGTGATAGAAAGGACAGAGATTGGCCAAAGAGGAGGTTGCTAAACTGCCCGTCTCAGCCCCACCTCTGGCCTAAAGTGCTTTACACCTACTGCTGCCACTGCCTCTCTGCAGCGGGAGTGAGGAGTGGGCACGGCCGGAAGCTGTGTGATCTGAGGGGTAACAACAAGGAAAGCTCAGGGTAAACCCCCCCGCCTTCCATCAGAGAGAGGTGAAAGGAAATTGGCACATTGCCTCAGAGTCAAGGCTTGATCTGAGATCAAGGAAGGGCTTGGCCTAAGGCCAAGGTCAAGACTCAGAGTGACAAAGGTCTGAACTCATCCAGGGCCAGGACTGGGGCCCAGTCAGAATCAGAGCTCTGTCTCCGACAGGGACTGGGGCCTGCTCAGGGACACTATCAGCATTTATGCCGGGCGGGTCAGGGTTCCGTCTATGATTCAGGTTGGAGTTCAGTCAATAACCAGGGTCAGGGTTCAGTAAGGATAGGACCAGACATGGTTCACACAGCAGTGTGTAAAATCTTGTCCCTCCTGCTGGCTGGAAACAGCCCCTAGACTCCAGCACCTGGCCACAGAATCCCTCGGACTGAGGAGGACACAGGGTCTTCCCTCGGTATATTGGGAGATTTGGAAACTGATCTCACTCCCACCCACCAGAGAACAGAGGGTACTTCTCTGTGCCCTGGCACCCTCATTGTGTATACTTGAACACAGCATTGGACCCCAGAGACTCTGTCACTCACACACCACACACACACACACACACACACACACCCAGAAGGGACACCTCCCATAGACAACTTCTTCCACACCCACACACATAACCCTCATGAAACCAGCAGCGAAACTCACACAACCCTCCAGTAATCTCTTCCTACCCACTGCTTCTACCCTCACCCCTCCCTTCCAGTTACCCAGGACTAAAGCTATATGCAGAAGACAGGCCCTTCACAATCACGCAGCTATTCAGGCCTGGGCTTCATGCATAAGGACTCCCTCCTCCCACACATGTGCACGGCTCCACACACAGGGATCCACAGAGACACATGACAGATGGGACAGTCCTGATGCTTACTTGGGAGAAAACAGTGTCACCACACAGGAGGGAAGCTGAACGTGAAGACAATTTTACACACAGAGGAAAACAATTCACAGGCAGCTACATCAGAAAGTCACACAGACACAAAACCAATTATACACCAACCCTTCACCAACCATAAACACTGTCTCTCTCCCTCTCTCTGTCTCTGTCTCTCTCTCTCTCTCACACACACACACACACATCCTTACTCACATATCCCAGAAAAGCATCCCGTTTGTGAACTTGCCTCATACAACACTCTACCACGTGGTAGAATTATCAACAAAGTCGCCTTTAATGATGGAGTTGACCTGAGGAATCTTCGGACAGAAGCTTGTGGCCAGAGGCGACCACTAGCAAAGAACTGGCCCGGGTCTTGGACCAAGAGTCTCCCAGAGAAAGCTGGCCTCCAAGTGGGCAAGGAAGCCAAGCCCTCTACTGTTCTGTGAAAGAAGATTAGAAATTAGCCTGGGGGAAAGAAACACGGTACAAAATACATTCAGAGCCCCCTGGCTGGGCCCTGGGGTGGTCCAAAACCTGCAGATGAGGAACCGGAGAAAGGAACCCCAGGTCCAGTCCCTATGTCCTTCTGTTTGCATGGCCAGGTTCCAAGGGGCAGAATGTATTACTGATATTCCTCTTAAAAAAATATATCTCTTTACACTTGCCTTCTCCCTAGTCTCTTTGCTATTTGGGAATGAGTATTTTCCTGTCCCCTCAAGGCTTCTAAGGGACGTCTTAGGAAGGTCACTCCAGGCAGAATAGCAAAGAGGCCGTGACCTATGGCTTTTGCATCTTCGTGGTGGGAAGTGGTGCCGATATGGGCTGGAAGTGAAGCCATTGGTATCCAAGGTGGGGCAAGGGATGGGATCTGGGGTCAACGTTTTTGTTGTTGTTGTTTTTTAAGATAGATGATCAGTGACTCAGGTCCTCAGAGATCCTTTGGTTTTGTGTCTGGGCAACAAGAGAGCACACAGTATGGAAATGATGAGGCATCTCATTAACCCCACTCCTTATAGGGCCCATAAGGGAAGCCGGCCCCACTGGACTGTGATGAGGAGAGGCCAATGGTCTGGGAAGGTAGTGGGGGTTTCTTTGGGGCAAGAGTCCACCTGATTCAGAGTACGCTTGCTGTCTTACCTGGGTAGCCAAGGACCTGCTGGGTAGCCAAGGGCAGTGTTGGGTCTCCCCACCCCCATGGAGAGATGAGTCACTGAGGCCCTCATTCCTACGTAAATTCTGTATGTGGCAGGTAGCCATTCTCATGGGCTACATGTTGGTGCCTGAGCACCCCTGGTTGTGGGATGGAGGTCACCTCCTGAATGACAGGTGGGAAGAAACGGGCAGGATCAGATCCCTTAAGGTGGAATCATGAGGCCCGTGACCCCACATGAAGGTGGTGAGGGGGAACTAACCTACTGTGAACACCATGGCCTTCCCACCCTACCTAAAATGCCACAAACCTAAGGCCACAGAGAAACTTCCCCCAAATCTTGCTTCAAAATGGAAGGTGACCTGAGATAAATATCAGGCTAGCACTTCCTGGGTGGAGAAGGGAAGGGGAGATTACTAAAGCTCAGCCCAGAAGGGACAGGTGTCTCGGGCCACGTTTGTACACTCGCTCCTTGAGCCTTTGCGTCAAGATCCTCAGTTGCTGTAGGATACCCAGCATGCCTTTGTGACACGGCTGAGTCCTCCCTCCCTCCCACAAGTGGAACTCAGGGCAATGGGGCAGGGACACGGGGAACAGAAAAGGGTCCCTGTGGCTGGAGCTCCCCAATCCAGGTACCCCATGTTTCCAAGGGGAGGGTGTGTGAGCAGGGCGAGCAGTGCCTGGGCAATCTCTTCCCCTGAGCCTCCTTTGTCATGCAGGAAACTCACTGAAGGCAAACAGCAGCCAGGGGGATTGTCCCCAAACCAAAGAGAGGACAGGTCAGTGGGGGTCACCAGGGGCCTTGAGTCCCCAGGGCCTGCTTGACTGGGGCTCCCAGCCCGGTCCCCCTCCGCTAGATGCATCATCTTGGGTAGTAGTCAGCAGGGACGCCTGTGAGGTTCCTCCCTCGAAGGGCTGCGTCCACCATCTTGATGTAGGCAGAGATGGTTTTCTGCATGTCTGCCGTGTAGGGGTCGTACTCGAGCTTCCGCAACCCGGAGCGCTTGAAGTTGCCATCTTTCTGACTCTCCACGCACAGCAGCCGGTCCTCCCTGACGGCCACGCCCAGGAGACTGACCATCCGGCCCAGCTGGACGAAGAGGTCCTGCTTCAGGTCCTCGAAGTGCACCACCAGCACCTTCTTGCCGAACTTGAGCCAGTCCAGTGTATGCGTGGCCCACCACGGGGCGTAGTTCCTCACGAACTCCGGCCACTCTGCGGAGAGAGGAGGGAGGGCTGAGTCCGAGGGACCAGGGCTTCACGGGATCAGTCAGGGGGTCCCAGCAGTGGCTGCCATGAGTCACAGCAAAAATAACACAGATAATTCCTGTAAGGCCTCTAAGTTCCTGATACCTCCCACCTCAAGGCTGCTGCTTCTGCCTAGAATCTTTGTTTATTTAAATTTTTGCCAGAGGGCACGTGCACTCACTCGAAAGAGAGGATATGATAAAGCACCCCTCCTGGGGCATGGTCCCTCCATCTTTCCGTCGGGATTGTGGGCACACACGCATATTTCTCAAGCTGCCAGGTCCAGGACTAGAACCATGTGGTCAACCCATATGGGCTCTCGCTGCCCTAACCATCATGCCATGGTCTGGAATATTCTTAGTTCTCCCTTCTCTCTCTCTCTCTCTCTCTCTCTTTTTTTGGAGAGGTTTTTGCTATAGGGCGTGTGCACTCGCCAGACAGACAGAGAGAGACGGAGAGACAGAAAGCGAGAAATCACCCCCCAGGGGGGATGGTCATGCTGCAATCCCTTCTCCTCCATTCTCCTCTCAGGATCTTGGGCACGCACACACACGCGCCCAGCATGAGTTTTAAGCCACCGGGTCTGGGACACGAACCGCGGTCGACTACGTGGCAGTCCAGCGACATAGCCATTATGCTAACTGCTGGTTCCCTTAGTTCTCCCTTCTCTTTGAAAATCACAATAACACTTATCTGGTGCTTACTACATGCCAGGCACAGCCCCATATATAAAAATGTAAATATAATATATATTTAATAAATATAGCTACTAAATATATAAGATTCAAGTAATAGATATTCATTATATTATTCATAGTATGAAAATAATCTATCATATTAGAGATAATATATATAGTAGGGTACTTAAAAAATTTGTGGAAAATGAAATTAACATATGAGTTTATCTTGGTGCAAAATTTTTTGAAATTTCTGCAGTTTTTTTATAATACACACTTTCCATGAGCTTTTTGAAGACTTCTCATATATCAATTATATATAATAGATTATGTAATATTATATATTAATAAATAATAATAATTCCAGGACCAGCAGTTGCTGTAATGGTTATGTCACTGGACTCCCATATAGTCAACCGTGGTTAGAGTCCCGAACTTGGTGGCTTAAACTCATGCCAGGTGCATGTGCGTGCATGCCCAATATCCCACAAGGAGAATAGAGAAGGGATTGCGGCGTGGCATTCTCCCCGGGGGGGTGATTTCTCGCTTTCTGTCTCTCTGTCTCTCTCTGTCTTTCTGGTGAGTGTACATGCCCTATAGCAAAAACCTCTCCAAAAAAACCAAAAAACAAAAAAACTAAATCCTGATCCCTCCCTGGGTAATGAATATTCACTCTCTCATTTAATTCTGACTACTCTGAAAGGAGAGAACTATTGCTTGCTCTTCACTAGAGAGAGGAAACTAAAGCTCAGAGAGGGAAGGGACTTGTTCATGGTCACACAGCCAGGAAGCGCTACTCAGACGAGGCCTTCCTGATTCCAGGCCCCTCTTTCCCAGGGACCAGCAGCCTCATTCCCAGTTCCCACTTCCTCCCACTGCCTTGTACTCAGCAGGGACTCAGTGAATGGCTGTTGAGCTAAACTGAAATTCTCACCCACCCTTTATCGCTAAAGGGCTCCTTTGCTTTGCAGTGCACCGAAGCTGTGGGGAGACTCCTGCTCCCCAAGTGCCCTCTAGAACACCATGGCTGCTGAGGAAATATTTACCCTGGTGACAAGGATATATTTTAACCTTCATAGAGTTGATTTACAATCTATCTGGCTAATTGGGCCTACACTGCCACAGTGGGTTAAGACTAGATGTATCTGAGTGATTAGGAAAACATCTAGCATGTGTATGACCTGGGTTTTTTTTTTTTGTTTGTTTTGTTTTTTAGGATTTCTTCACTCCTGAGTCACCTCCTTGCAGCATTCCTGGTGATTCAGGATGGCTGCTATTCTCCTGGGGAAGCCCTGGAGTTGACGATGGTCCTGTCACCCAGCAACACACAGACCCAGATTCCTAGGTGTGGCCACTTTGGGCTGTCTTGGTTGTTGAAAGCAGCAGGATAGTCCCTAAGAAAAAGGGCGGGCTGGTCTCCAGCCTGGCTGAGGTCCCTTGGGTAGCTGGACTTGATGCGGGAGGGATGCAGACTACGAAGTGTCCTTGTGGGCTGCAAACCTCTGGGGGACAGCAGGCTCCTCTGAGAAATGGAGTGATGATGCTGCTGCCTGAGCATCCCCTGTGTGTCAGGGACTATTTGGGCACTTTGCTCACATAATCTCGGGGTTCTCAAGAAGTCCAGCAATGTTGGACCAGCAGCTGGTGTAATGGCTATGTTGCTAGACTCCCATGTGACCCCGGTTTGAGTCCCGGACCTGGTGGCTTAAACTCACACTGGGGTGTGTGAGTACATGCCCCAAGAGGAGACTAGAGGAGAGGGAGCTGCAGCATGGCTATCCTCCCGGGGGGTGATTTCCCACTTTCTCTCTCTCTGTCTCTCTCTGTGTCTTTCTAGTGAGTGCACAGGCCTTATAGCAAAAACCTCTCAGAGGCATGACGTGACTTGCCCAGAGCCACACAGCTGGTGTCTAAGGCAGAATTCAAACCAATGTCTAACCCAGACTGAGCCTGGCTCCTGCCATCCTAGCCAACCCTTTCAGGGCACCTGAGCTAATTGGCTCCAGCCCTCTGTACCTACTGCTCATGTCACCTTCAAGCTGTGGCCTAAGGCACTGGGTCTGTCCACAGATGGCCTTGTCCTACTCAGACTGCCAGACTTGAAAGCCCAGCTCCTCTCCATGTGTGCCGTGTGACCTTGGGGATGTTCCTCAATCCCCTTGAGTCTCGATTTACTCATCTGCAAAGTGAAGATCCAAACATGACCTCCCTCCTGCAGGTGCTATGGGGACGCGTGGGTGAGATGCGCACAGATCCTGGGGTGGCACCTGGGACACAGAAGGCGCCCCAATAAATGTCAGCTCCTGTCATCATTATTCATGGTGACGTTGGAGAAGGCGCCCCAATAAATGTCAGCTCCTGTCGTCATTATTCATGGTGATGTTGGCCCCCCCCATGTCCCCTGAGACACCCCACACGCCCCATCATTTTGGTCAGAGTTTCCCTCTGAAGAATATCCAAGATATTCCAGCGGCGGCAGCAGCCCACCCCACCTCCCTCCCATGGCCAAAGCTCCCTCACGCGAAGCTCCTAAATTACTTCATTGGAAAGAAGAATAAAAATGAAACACAAGTCGTCAATGAGCTTGGGATTCCTGGTGATGGATCGGGGTCCGCGAATCAGGTCATTTTGGTCAGAGTTTCCCTCTGAAGAATATCCAAGATATTCCAGCGGCGGCAGCAGCCCACCCCACCTCCCTCCCATGGCCAAAGCTCCCTCACGCGAAGCTCCTAAATTACTTCATTGGAAAGAAGAATAAAAATGAAACACAAGTCGTCAATGAGCTTGGGATTCCTGGTGATGGATCGGGGTCCGCGAATCAGGTAATAAATGCTTGGTGAGCCACAGAACGCCGGCGGTGAGTGCCGGCTACAC